CGGGCAAAATGTTGGGGCTGACCAGTCTTGGTCATACCCGTCTGCAATCTCGTTCGCCGCCTGAAGCTGCACTTCTACGTACGGTGCTCGCACACAATGAGTGCCCGAGTTAACGTCACCGCATTCATCAGTCTGACAGGCCTTGTCGGGAGATTGAATCAGATCTTGTACTGATGTGGAGAGCTCACACAGTCGTGTTTCCAACTCGGAGACATACTCAGGAAGCCAGCGCAGTTGGATTCCACGGTCTCGAGCCTCCTTTGGAGGTCAAGCACTTGGCAGTTGGCCGAAGCAATCTGCCGGGACACGCTGCGGAGATTGCGGTGTTCCTTGGATTGCTTCGAGAAAACCAGCCTTAGTCTGCTGGGCGCTAACAAGTTGTGCTGCTCGTCCTCAACCTTCACCTTGTTGAACGAGAAGCTGAAGGCCTCTGATTCGATCAGGCCGCTGTGGCCACAATCCTGGCTGCCCTTCGTGAGTCCCAGCTGCTTACACGTTTTCGGGGTTTCCATGCCAGTGGCAGCAAGGATCGTCCCTGCTCTGATGGTAACACACAGGCATTTTTAAATGCTTCAGATTCAGATGCGACTGCAGGATGTAAAGTCGAGGGTTTGAGCAAAATGTAACGCGAAGCTCTTGCCAACAACAATTCTTATTGCAGGGGAGTGGCTAGAAAAAGATCCTCGAATTGCTGATGCAACCAGCACTACAGCAGTAAGACTCTTGACACTATTGTTACATCCTGATGCTTCAAGCAGACCAAGCTGGCGGGCACGGGATTCAGCCATTGCTTCATCACAGCAACGCACAAGCAGTATTGAAAGGATGGTCATGATGAGGGCCATGATGATGATGATGATGATGACAAGAACGGCTGATGACAAGAACGGCTCACAACACCCATTCGCAGCAACAACGACTACATGAGGGTCATCTAGCAGCAAAAATGGTGATGTGCACGTGTTCTAGTTGGTTATGAACAAGCAGCAATTATCATCCGACTCACAATTCAGGAATACAAAACTATTATGGGCATTGCTACCACATCCGACAATCCCATTACCCCAAAAAGTCTCACAGAATCCTTGAATAATCCTGATGGTATCCTCAGTAACCCTAGGCACCCTGCCTATGATGGCTACAAAACCCCACATTCACCGTAAACTATATCATGCACACCCAAGAATTTTTTCCTAAACCCAAGGCTCCCGTAGGGCCTGGCCAGGCTGGCCCACGAGCTCGTGCAGGAACGTTCGATTATCGCCCAGACCAATCTTGCAAACTGTTGAGATTGAGCGGTGGGTTCTGAGGAACAATTCCATGATCCGTCACAAATAGAGGCAGTGTAACAAGGGTAGTCACCAGGCTAGTGGCGAGCACGACGACGAAAATGACGACGACGACGACAACGACGACGACGACTACTACTACTATGACGACTCCGAATCCCACTGTGACTACGACTACGACCACGACTACGACTGCGACGACGACGATTACGACGACGACTACTACCTCTACGACTACTACTGCTGCTACTACTACTACTACTACTACTGCTACTGCTACTAGTAGTAGTAGTAGTAGCAGCTAGTAGCTAGTAGCTAGTAGCTAGTAGTAGTAGTAGTAGTAGCAGCAGTAGTAGTAGTAGTAGCAGCAGTAGCAGCAGCAGTAGTAGTAGTAGTAATAGTAATAGTAGTGGTGGTAGTAGTGGTAGTAGTGGTAGTAGTGGTAGTAGCAGCAGCAGCTGCAGCAGTAGGAGTAGGAATATATGGGAGTAGGGGTAGGAGTAAGAGTACGAGTAGTAGTGGTGGTAGTAGTACCAGTACCACCACTCCTCACAGTAGCACTCAAGATATTACTTCTGTCGATAGCTCCAACAAATCTCGACTCATGGGAACAAAAGAAAGGCACAGTTTTGAGAGCAACAGCCAGGTAACAGGGTATCCTATATGTACCCCTCAGGGTCCCTAGAATCCCCCTAAAAGCCTAAGCGCCATATCAAGGACCCATACTGCTAACCTTAGAACACTACGTACAAGGAGTGACTGCTGCTAGCGGCTGCTAGCACTGCTGTGGCCAAGTTCTGCGGCGATTGTGAACCACCACCACGACCACAACTGGTACCACTATGACCACGATCACCGCTGCTGAGCCATTGCTACTGATATTACGATCATGACTACTATTCCTACTTCTGGTACAATTGTTACCTCTGTTCGAGCTCCTTTGATGCCACAGTTGTTGTGACTCTTACTATGACAAACAATCCGAATGCCAGAAACCCCACCGATATGCAGAAACCGCTGTCCCTCCGCCACACCTGGACCACATGTGCCCGCTGACCGCGGGGGTAGTAACCAGCACGCGTTACCTGTCCTGACCGAGGATGCTAGATGACCGCTCAAGCTGGCGCTGGAATTCCTATGAGAGGTATGTCGAAATAGGGGAATCAATTGCAAAAGCTCCCGGTGTGTTTGCTGGCAGGTGAATGCACCTTCAGCGCTCATCGCTGAAGCACTCAGAAGCTGGCATGAGACGCGGCTCTATACAGCAAGGCTGCTTGTCTCTTCAGAACTTCTGTTGTTTTGGAAGGCCCATGTCTCTAGACAGATGTTCCAGTTCTATTTCACAAGTCCTACTTGTGGGATGATTGGCGTAGGACCCCCGCAAGAAGTCACATGAACAACATATCCCGTCAGGCAGAGGAACAGATCGGGTATGTCCAATAGCATCATCTCGAGCTCAGCTCGTCGCTTGTTCATGAACATGGATGACTCTAAACTCAAGCCTAAGCAGGCAGAGTCGGTCTTCCGAGCCCTGCAGAAAAAGGCTGCGAGTATGAGTCCGAAAAGTTCAACCAACATGTCGCCGTTGTTCACTCTTCCTTGGGGTTTGATGGGGAGACTGTGTCGAATCGTAGGGTTTAAGGCATTTGTGGTCTCTTGTACATTTTACTAAACAGTCACATCCTGACGCTCCCAAGGGCACCCCTGGTGCGTGGTCGTGATCTTGTCCCTTGGAAGGTGGAGGTTTGCAACTGGTCCGCACCTTGGCTTAGCAGAGGCTGATTTGGAAGCACTTACTTTGAAGGAGCCAGAGAGATTGGCTGCACGCAAGCTCACAGAAAAGCTCTCTGATACCCAGGTTATCCCAATCTGACAGCAAAAACCGATGTGCTGGCTTTCTTCAATCTGTCGTGAGTTGCATTGAGGCACATGCTGTGGTGCAACCTGCTGACACAGGAAAGCCAAGTCCCTGTGGCATGCGCGGATATCCAAAAGAAACGCTCCTGTCAACAGTTTCTTTGCGATCCAGGCACTGCACCATAAGTTCCCAAAGGACCTCCCACGGCATGAGCGACTGAACTGAGAATCTCTCTAGAATCTCTGGTATCAATATTCCTGCCACAACTACCGTCGCTAAAGCACTAAGTTGCAAGTACTGCTATTCCCGCCAGCCCCAACAGAACCCCCTTAAGTAACGCTATAAGTTAGGCCCTCTACATCTAAAGGAGTATATAAGAAGTATATAAGGTTTAGGGATATTAACCGCTATACTGCTGAATCAATGGAAAATCAAATGTCAAATCAAAAGGAAAAATGCAAACTACATCAGGGAGGGGTCATGGGGATATCTAAGAAAACAATTACTGCTCCTACTCCCTGTATAACCCACCTAGGTATATATATATATAGGAATAGGATAGGAGACGGAAACTGCTACATTATGTAAGGCTTAGTGTGAAGGGTTTCAGGGATATTACCGCCAAACATGGAGAATCAAATGGACCAGGAGATGGAAAATCAAGTGGAAACTCAGGTCATGTACTATGAATACCGTAACACTTCCGGGCCTCCTCGTCAATTTTGGGATCCAAGTTTCCCACATAGATTGTCGCCTGGGCGCATGCTCATAAACATCTAAGGCTAACAGCAAAACATCTACGCATGCCGGCACACTGCGGGTAACGGACGAATGGACTATGTGCAGGCCGGAAATTCATCTGGCGTAAAAACTTTGTTATGAGCACTGCTGTCCTACACAAAACTGGCAGGCCCACAGCTCACCCGAAAACACATGGACTTCAGTCAGGACTTCAACAGCGCATTTGACAATTTGCAACAAGGATGGGCCGCAAGTTATCCCTGAACTGTCCTGATGTCAGGTGCCGGTTTTTCCCGGAAAGAGAGCCAGCCTCCTGGTTCCTCTCAAAGATCTGCTGAATGCCGCCCTGCGCGGCTGGCGGGGCTGCCATGACCCTGGCAAGATTGCAGAGTTGGACGGATTACGTACGTATGACGCAGATAAACAGAAACATGCCGTACAGGGGGACAACGCCAGATAATATGAGCTGTCTCCACAGGGACGTAAAATGCGAACGTAAAGTCCATCGCTGGCATTTTTCAAGTAAGAAGAATTGGAAGAAAGTGAACCAGAAGCATCGAAATATTGTCCTGGGGTGTCTTGTTTGTTGTAGAGATTTCAGGAGCTGTGCTGGTGCATGATGGGGCACAGTATGACAGTATGCTGAAAGCCGCCTAAACTAAATAGCTCAAGATCCCAGACAAGCATCTGCCATTCAAAGCTGTCAGGGAAGATGACAAGGCGTGTGCCGTTGTACCTCTATAGGCGTGCTCCTGCCTCCTGCGCGTGGACCGCGCCACGAACCCCGCGGAGGCGTGGGTAAATGCTGCAGCAGGCGCCAGGAGCAGGTGGAAAGTTGCTGGAGCTGTGACAATGCGCAGTGCACACGGCAGGAAAGCGCATATATACTCCAGAAGGGGAACGTGAACCCAGCCGAGACGTAATCAACCCTCACAGAAACATGCCAAGGAGTTGATTGCACATTTTCGCGTGGGAATGATATTGCCCAAACAGTGACGTGCATTCTGCTTGGATTCTGTAAACTCATACAAGCCTCGAGGCTCAGATTTCCACCTGAAATGCTGAAGCCGCGACTAGTCGAGTTGCTTAGGAATGCACAGAGCTCTTTTGCTTCACCGGGCATTCACCGCAGAACGAATCCTTTCGTAGCTGACAAAGAATGCCGCGCACCAAACCAATTTTCCTCAGTGGCCAACACAAGTTTGAACCCTTGAAGTTGACATGAAGCTTCGGGGAAGAGGCTCAAGCCCTCGAACCTTCAGACCAATAGATGTGTAAGATGAATCACACTAGTGCTGCCATTCTAGGACCGTCTTTATGATTATCATTGCCCTGCTCATTATCAAAAACTATCCAAAGCCATCCTGGATCACGCAAGTTTGGTTAATGCCCTACAGAAGTCTATGTTTGCTTGGGTCAAAACCTCATGCTACCTTGGCAGCAGGTGGCACGTTGATGTCATAATAAGCAGTTTCTAGCAATTCCAATACCCAGCACGTGGACTTTGGAAAAGCTTGTGCACGAGGACGGTGATGACAGTCCTGATGGAAAAGGGGAATATCAAGAATGGCAGGCAGGAGCGCGATAACGGCAACAGCAAAGCTCCGATGACAATGGCCATCATCATCAACATCATCATCATAAACAGCATCATCGTCATCATCATCACTCATAGAATTGACGCGGCACAACAGCAGCAGCAAATGATGATGATGATGATGATGATGATGATGCCAATGTCAACGGTCAGGATCATCATGGTCATGGCATGACCGTGACCATGATGATGATCATGATGACGATGATGAGGGCGATGATGATCATGTGACTGCGGACATAGCGACGGCACTGATGCTGGGAATGATGATGAGAAAAATAACACGAATATTCTGCACCAGCCAATAGTAGCAGACAAAGAAGAAGCGGAAGTACTGGCGGCAGCAGCGGCAATAGGGGTGGCGGGGTGCCCATCTCAGAGTCTCAGAGACTGAGCCCGCCCTCCAATGCTGCTTGAGGCACGAATGCAGATGGGGAGGAAGCCCTGGGTTGCAACCGTTTAGGGTTGCACTGGTAGGCACATGCCTTTGAAGTTAAGGTTGAGTTTACAGCAATAAACTCATGTGTAAGTGAACTAATGCACCTCCGCAGCTGCGCTTCCGCAAACCAAGCTGGTTTTGAGAAGTGCACTGCATAGAAAATTCCAAGTGTCCGTCTATCTTTGGTACTGTGCTCACACAAAGGTGCGCCCTTACCTCAAATCGGATTTCAGGTGCAGACCCACGAAAATTGTCCTCATGCTGAGTGCTTTCCATGCTAATGCTGGGCTCGAGTTGTAGGGTCTCCCTGAATGTCGCACCTGCCCATTATCGAAGCTTGACTTGCACTTTGCTGCCGTGAGAACTGCACACAAAGCCATGTGCCTTCACAAAACCGCGCCTCCCCAAACAGCAAAGCTGCACTATCCCGCAAGACCAGAGAGGAATGTTTTCCATGCATGCATGCTCGATAATGCTTCGTGGGGTGGAGATGCCTTGTACAGCGCCCCGACACCTTCGTCCACAAGAATGCGGCTGAAGCCATGGAACATTCCTCGTCAAGAAAAGGCCCACTTCTACATGTTAGGGGCTTCCCTAGCTCGGTACGTAGCAATGTCTCTAACGAATCCTGACATGTGACTGATTGCCTGGGCTTGCCCAAGTCATAAGTTGCAATGGTATTCCTCACCTGTTTTGCTCGTGCTGCAGTAACATGACTCATCTACGCAGACCCTGAACTTTGAACACGTTTTCTCGGCGCAGGCCTACCAGATATGGATCATGTGGGATTACTGTATATGACGGTCCATAAGGCTGTAGACACTTTAGGGGGTGACACACAGCTGAGAGTTTTGAGGATGTTTGAGATTATCTTGGGTTCAGAATTCAGAAGGTACACCACCCACACAGAGCATGCTCCAGGCTTTCTGCACGTTTCCTGCTTTTCAGGGTCGTTGGCCCCCAGCCTCGATACTGCTTCTCACCGCCCGCGGAGTTCCTCAGATGATCACCAGTCACGGCGAGTCTTTGAGAGCGAAGCTGCCCCAACAATTATGGGACAAGCTACTGGAAGCACCCCCAACATGATGAGCTCCTCGCTCCATAAAACATATCAAATGAAACACATGGCCACGTGATGAGATCAGGGAATGCCTCTGAACCGAAGCTGCTCCCTGCGCCGCCTGCGTGCCTAGTCCAGACCACATTCATGATTTTAATCTCTTCAAGGTCCTGATAAAGAGATCCGGTATCAAGGTGGTCGGTGAATGTTACAAGACGATGAGGACGCTCTGAGTGGATCGGGATAAAAGCAGCTGTGACTCAAAGCGCAGTACCAAGATTTGCTCTTGCAGTTGAGAGTCTACTTTACCCAACACCAACTCTACCAAATGAATGCAATCACACCAACTTGGCATCGCTCACATGCCCTTGCTAGAGTGTTGTAGGCCCTGCGCGCTGCCTGACAATTTGAGTGGGATCCTGGACAGAAATAACTCACAAAAGGCCGTAACACAATCCCTGTGAGGTGGGGCCTGGAGGGGGGGTACGCTGCTTCGACTGATAAGTATTTGTGGACAGTAACAACTGGACTTGATAGTGGAATGATGCCAGCAGGAGTGTTTCAACTCTTTCGCAAGGCTTTCGGCTCAGCGTCATTAGCCTTGTCTTCACCACGTCTGCAGGGGTCGACACGCAGGCTGAGGTGAAGCCCGCAATCCCCGACGCGCCGACCTGAGAGTTTTTGAGTGTCCTGGCAAGCCTTCTTCATAGACCGGCTTTGTAAAGATAGCCTTTTTAGAACCAGCAAGGTGAGGCTTCTTGCTTCTTCTTCTGGAGCACGCTTCTACTTATTGCTGGATGGAAACCCTTGGAATCTGTTGTCGTTGTTGCACCCAGTTCAATATGGTCAACTTGCGTGGTATGGGAAGAGGTCACAAAAAATGTGCCTTCAAAAGTCTGCAGCTGGTTCACTGCTAGTAGTGGATCATAAAGAAGTACACCTGCTGGTAAGTTGATGCATCATTCGAGAGAGTAGCCGATGTTGAAGCTGGCTTCCTCCTCCCCAAGGGAGCCCAAAGAGGGCGTTCCCAGACGATAGATTCTCCTTTCAGGCCTCATACAACGCTGAGTTATCCACATACAAGGCGTTGATGTCATGACTACTGAAATCTGAGCCACAGGGTTACTAAGCAACATTAACCGTAACCCTCATCTCTGAACCCCCTAAATCTTCAACCTTCAACTCGGGACCCTTGGTGTGAAGCCCCAAATCTGCTTTGAGGCACGTGGGACACCAGCCCGTCGCCGAAATGTGGCTTCAGCTGGCTTTTGGCCTGGCAGGTTGGCATCAGAAGAGGAAAAGCAATACTAGTACTCGGACTGCTGGGGACTGTCTGACCCAGCGTTACCTTGGACGTCCTGCAGTAGTTGGACCCAGAGACTTGGTGGAATCACTAACAACAAGCTAACTAGATTCCCAGTCTGGATGGCACAGTGTACCTTCACGGCTTCCCACATTTGTTCAGGGAAACGGGAGCCAGGCTTTTGAGATCTTGCTGGAGATGCGCTCGCTTTGCCTCTTCATTTCTCAACGGAACATCTTAAACAAACTCGTTGACCAGAGAACTTGTGTGCTCTGACGATCTCTTTTGGAGCCGCTGACTACAACATCAAGTTCCTTTCCACCTCTAGATTTGACTTGCACGTGTCACCATCACTTTCCGAGCAACAAACACAGCTCCAAGCTCAGCAAGTGAGCTTGGACAATCCTGTACTGGGTGGCGCTGACATCGCCTCACCGTCAACACCACATATCAGTTCACAGCATCAAAACATAAAAACCTCATCATGCCATTGTCAATTCTTGATCCGGTAGGGCACCTCTTACAGGAGTAGTAACTAGCCAAGCTGGACAAATGTAAACACAAAATACTTAAGAATCAAAAAAGAGAACTGGGGTCCAAACAACTCAGGCACACCGGGAGGCAATGTCCACTGAAATCAGGCTTCTACAGTAGGCCCATGAAAACATATGCCTCATCGTATGTGCCAAGCTCTGCGGCGTTGACCAGAAATGTCCGAGCAACATTTGGCCGGACACCTTGCATATCCAAGTAGCTGATTCTGTTTCTCATCATGCATTTCAGTCAAACTATGTTGCGATCTTTAGTAGCAGGGTTACCATTGCATCGTAAAACGCCACTGTTCTCTAGGACTGCTCGTCGTCTTGCTTGCTGCCCTTTGCATTACCCTTCCCTTTTCGCCTTGTCCCAAACGTTTGGGGATGTTCCAGTTGGATATGCTTGATAAGAGGTGGTGCATGTCTTGGTTCAGCCATGCTAGATCGACTCGAATCCCCTCAATCAAAAGCCAACCATGCAGGACCCATATCATCAAAGGAACCCGGTATATCCACATCAGCCAATTCTCAGAAACGTGTCCAGGCCTGCCCAAAATCCCACAATACCATCCTGACAGGCGAAGGTTCAGGGTCTGGGGTGAAGGATTGAACGCATCTAGGGGCCTAGTCAAGTCGAACAGGGTTCGGGTGAATTTCAACCCTGAATAAAATGAAGACAAGATATTGGCATCATCTTGCTCCAAAAGGCCACCTCCTCCCTAGCCTTGTGTTGCATGATGGACCCCGAACATGTGCCAAGTCGTCCCGATGTACACAAAGATCAGGATGTGCCAGCACGTGTCGGAGCGCATAAACCGTTCTCTTTATCCATGGACGTGTCTGGTCGACCTCTCCAAAGCCTAAATCCAGAAGACATAAGACTCGAAACCAGCACACTTGTCCTGTGCCCAGACGCGCCGTGCAACATCGGCCATGCTCTGACCAGCACCTGTGTGGGTCCTGAGGTGGTGGACATCTGCTCAAAGTCCAGCAGTGGTGGTGGCAGCGGCGGCGGTGGTGGTCATAACAATAGCAAGAAAGTTGAGCGCAACGGTACATGGAGAGGCACAGGAGGACAACTTGAGTCGTTACAGTAGACCGGACGCGTAGAACAGGACTAACGGTCGTAAAGGCATCTCTGGCCACCGCAAAAAGCAATCCTGCGAGGGGAAGCACTTCTTTGCAGCCATAGTAAGTGCCACAGCATTGATGATCTCACAAAATCTCACAGTAGCAGTACTGCCTGCATGCAGCGAGGTGGCTGGACTTGCGTCTTGATCACCTCACAGATATGAAAAACTAGAGGCCCGCGTCCAGCCAAGGATTTACTTGCGAGATGAGCTACGCTTAGCAAGATGGCTCCTTCCCAGCCCCATGTGACAGCTCGTTACGGGCACTGCATCAGAAGCTGCAAGCGGCACAATGGCCTACTCCGCTCTAAGACCTAGATGACAACCAATCGCAACCATAAGCTCTTAACCTGATACCTCCTTTCCTGGCGCGGCCTCAGCTGGATTGAACACAGCAATTGCCAGCGCGCCCGCCGTGCCACCCGCGGCCAGGCGCTGGAAGAAACTGGGCCCTGAAACACCGCTGATGTGGATACGAGGTTTTCCATTCGGCAGTGCTAGCAGGAGTTGTGGGCCACCACCAGGACGTGCGACCCACTGTCCCCACACATCAAATGAGTCGCAACAACTGCTTCACACAGCAGATTCTTCTAGGCGTTCCTTTTTTCATTCCTCGATCACAACAGGGTAGCCTCGCTCAATAGCTCGGGTGCCAACAGCTCGAATTCTCCTGAAAAGCTCCGGGCTGCTGTCAAGCGGCCTTCGGCTGCATTTTGCAGAGCGCGCCCGTAGAAGCCTCGGATCGGCTCGTAGATGACCAACGACCTTTGATTGCTTTGAATCGCACCCATGCATGGTGACTTGCAAATACGTTGGAAAACGGAATCATGTGCTAATCTACGCAGATCCGGCCGTCCCTGTCTTTTGAACGGTCGTTTTCGTGAGCTCACGGCCCCAGATGGTATATCCTAGGAAAGGGCGTTCTCATATGGGGGGCAGGCTCCCGCCCCTCAGAAGGGCGAATCTTCAGACAACATAGTCATGACGACAAGCCACAGTCCTGGTATAATGCTTTGTTGTGTTGTGCTCTTTGGCAGAGACCCAATCTTTAGACATAGATTTCGCCAACTTCATGAGAAACCGCTGCCATAGTCTTCAAGCCGCAGAGATGTGTAAGAGATTTGCCTCAACAGCGCTGGCGCCAGTCCTTTCCAAAGTGCTCCAGGGCCCTCCTGCCTGAAAAGCCATGGGACAAAGGCATCAGGGCTTGAGGAGGCATACGAAACCCAAGATCGGGTTGTCCCCTATATTGGGAAGTGTCTAGTTCAGATTTTGGGTTACAAAGTGAGGGGCTTCTGTAAAGGAGTCCCCCGTGGCAAACACACGCGGCTGTCTGAGAGTCTTAGGCCTTCAGCTCTACAAGCAACGAGGCCAGTTTGGCGCCTTTGACATTGCTTTTACTAGTGTACATCCTTCCTGTAAACTACGACGACTATGATTCCACTGTATTTCATTTCTACTATGGAAGTTTGTGCTTGCAAAAATCCGCACCGCTTCATCCGCAATCACACGAACACCGGAGACAAGAAAGAACCCCACAAGGGACTTGTTGTGTTGAGAAATGCCGATAAGCCTCATAATACACATAGAGCTGCATGGAACTTTGCAAAATTTTTGTTGCCCCAAAACCGCACCGAAATGGGTAAAACCTACAGATTGGTAAGTTAATCGCATCAATTTCCAATATGGAGATTGCCATAAATGGGGGGCCCCAAGATAAACCCCAAATCAGGTAAATCCTTCCTACGCGGACTTTCAAAAACCGGTCCCTATAGTTCTCAAAAGTTCCCATATTTTATTTGCTGAAGGAGATCCTCCCTGTCTCTGCCCAGCCCCCAGCCTACCAGTCTGCAGCAAGCAGTCCAAGAATCCCTGGTACTTGCCAGACTGTTGCACCTGCAGAATACAGCGCTCACAATCCATTATTCGAAGGACCAGCAGTACTAGTGATGGCACAAGAAACCGCATGATGACTGTAAAGTGTACTAGCAAGATGCCTTCATTTACCCAAAACTTTCCCAAGTGGCCAAGAATTCTTTTGGGAACTGGCATTTCCCAAACAGGGTCAGGTTGAATTTTCGCAACGTTTATTCGAAGCCTGAATCAAAGGGCATCCTAACTGGTGATGCCCTTATGGGTGGAAGGCCTGGCTATGGCAAGCATATTTCAGCAATAGCAGGGAACCCGCCTGAAGCCGCACTTTGACGACATCCGTTGGGAGGGTGACCTTGCATATCTCTGTACTAGTAGCAGCTTACACAAGAGTCTCAAGAGACATCTTTTTGCCAGAGGCAATGCGTGGCGCAAGGACGCAAGAGGCATCCCTGCTAGCATGATTAAGAGATTGAATGGCGACTTCCCAACATCTCAGAATTAGCTATGCGACCACCTTTGCAGCCGGCTTGCTTTGCCGCCCTGGTACTGGTACATAACCCAAGCTTCTCAGTAAAAAATGCCGACACGCAACAGGTGCGGCCAAGAAACTGTTTCGGCAATCGTGGCACCCAGTGCAGAAGCTACGAAGCGAGCGAAGGCATCGCTCATGTTCTGAAACCACTTGAAAACAATAGTGTAAGGATGGTCCAAGGGACTCAGTCGAGGCTTGCAAGTGACTCGAGAACTGGGTGACATTCAAAGCTTTGAGATGGTCTGTTGCATTTCCTAGGGCCAAAGGGACTGTTGCTACCAAGAGGTAAAGATGTCTCTTGAAACAGACTCTTGCAGACTTGCAGGGCATGCCAGAGCAGCCTCTCTGTGTAATCCACTCCGCAAGAGTTCGAACCAGACAATGGACAAGCAACTGATGCAAGTGATACACTTGAAACGTTGTCAAGACGTGCTTCATGCGGCAGACAGAGGTATGCTTTCACCAATGATTTGTTTCCGGAGGTTGTTACTACCATGTCTGATCTTCTGCGAGCCACCGCCAGCGCTAGCACCCCCACTACTGGTAGTCCTGCGGCATCGCGTGGCAAAGTCCCATGTTCTTTCTCCTCGTCTGCTTCTGAGGTCTGAGCCAGGCAAGCCGGCTGGCAAGCGAAAAAAATGTTCCCGTCGCATGCCATGGGCTGTCTAGCCGCACGATGCGGTTCAACTGCAAGGATCCTGAACTCTAAAATTCTCCATTCACCAACCCTAGACCCCCTTTAGGACCCTGAATCCTTTCCAGCCGAAAGAGAAGATCCTGCAGCTGTCCGGCCACCAAAACTTCCAAGCTGCAGACCCTGGAAAGTGTGGTGAGATTTCACAGGTTGACACTGCAGGGCTTAGGCGATATACGAATGCAGGCATTAAAAACACTCACGCCGTTAGCAACAGGAAACCAGCGTGTTGATTGCATAAGTATACTGGAAAATGACCGAAGGACTTGTAGTCAAATTGTCCTGAACCAACAAAGAATTCGCCCAGATATACAACTCATCAGCAAACAACTACATGATGGACATTGTGGATAGTAGAGGGCACGCAAGTCAATTCCTGCTGTTTGCTCTTCAACATTTCAGCTTCGCTTAGCCTTGGGAAAATCACCAGAAAACTTGGCAGGCCCTCTTCTTTTGGGAATGTCTTGCTACCAAGTCGCCCAGCCCCCCAGCCACGTTCCCTTCCGGTTCCGCTCCATTTCCGTTCCGTGTAGAATCGTCCCACATTGCGTTACGCACTTGATTTTCCGGTTATTTTGCGGAGAGGAGACATTTGCAGTTGCCATTGAGCTAAAGTTGTTGGAGTACACGCAGAAGACCGTCGGCAGCCGCAGCTGACGTGAAATCCTTCTTGAACAGATCTCTCCAGGGTACCAGCTCTAGAGTTGGCAAAGATCGTGTTAACGAATTGATATTGTTGGGCTACCCTGTGACCAACTCAGCCTGCGCACGGCACACAGCTGACATCACACTGTTCTGGTAGCTTCCGAAACCATACATCAAGGCTAACTACAGCTCGATGTACACTGCCTGCTCAGGAGACCATACGAACCCTACCTGGCCTACCTCCCTCCCATACCGCGAACCATTCAGAAGATAAGGTAGATGGCCTGTGAGGCCTGAACTTCAAAGTCGAATGGTGAGGAGGACAATTGAGTTCGCTGCCGTTGGCTTTAGATTTCGCAACGCAAGTTCCTCCGAAAAGTGCTACTGCAAGGTGACGAGAAGACCCCTGCTCCTTGATCAGATGGAATTCATGAGCAGAAACACCGTAGAAGGAGAAGTGGCAACTATGACTGTCTGCTAGAGTGCTAGCTAGCCTGCTCACACATAATTTCTATCAGTGTAAGAGTGCTGTTAGTGCTAGTCTCATCTCCTGCATCTGTTCTCCAACAAACGCGTCACAATTCTGGGTTGTGGTGCTACAGCGCAAGCTGCCAACAGATTTGCTCAGCTCGACATGGGAAGAACCACTATGACTATGAGACGAATCAACACACAAACAGGAGGACGGAATTTCTTGCAGATATCGAAGAAAGCTCAAGCGTCACAACAGCCCTCGTAAAGTCCCTTTTCGTGTCCAGAACATGGCCGAATTCTTGGCTTGAGCGTGCCACAGGGAGGCCCTGGCGTGCAAAAGAACCCTGAAGTCACGGCCGTGCTGAGAAAATGCAACCGGCCATGAGATGACCCAACCGCGTCATGCTTTCTTGCATGGTGCAGGACGGGTGCAGGCTTGCAGGGCCTCGCAAGGCAGCCGACTGCTAAGGCGCTGACGAGACCTGAAGGAACAGATGCCGTGGCAATTTCTCGAGCTCTCACTTCACGACGGTTCGTGCAAGCCTGCCATAATCCCATAGATCACAACACAGATGTTGAGGACAGTGATCAGACACTGTCTGAACTTGTCAAGCCCATCTTTGAGAAACAACGCTGTTGCCAACAGACAAGCATGAAAACCTTCATGCGTAACCTTGAAGTCAACAGACTAGCCTGTCATGGTTTAAATCTCATCTTTCCGGCGTGTTGCTCACACACAAGGACAGGCATCGAGGAAGCGAGGGATATGCCAGACACCACAGCCCCCCAAACAATACTTCACTTCAAGCGCTGTAATTATACTGCTAAGCCTACACTGCTACCTTGATTGCTTGCTGGTGACAGGCACGGCAGCTTCCAAAAGGATGCTCCGATTACTATCCTACCTTTGGAAACTCCCGCGTTCATGCATCTCAGCTGAGAACTCATGATGAACAGCAAGTGAGCAGCGATAAAGTGCCTGCGGTATTACTGCCCATGCTATCAGCACTCCCGAAGAGACCACTTCCATGTCAGTTGAGCTTGCATCAACCTGCTTGCCTTAAAAAGGGAACCAAAAGCCTCCAAACCCTGGGAGGTTGCTGAAACGGCTGTACCCGCACCAGCATCTTGACTGCTTGAGCATGCTTGGTCGTTTTTGGCTATGACTTTGTCTACTCATGGTGAAACATGGCAACACTTGATGGGGACGACAAGTTCAGCTCATCCCTTCTGCATGCTCCACCTCCAATGCGCACTTCACCATCACATACTGGGCCAGTCTGATACGAAGACTCCTTGATCCTGCTAAACTAAACTGTCTTGAGCCCAGCTTTTTGCCAATGAAATAGTCGAACCCTGCTGTAAATCACGTTGAACAGACGAATCCAAAATTGCTGGTGCGAGGGACAGCCGGCTTCTTTGATGATGCTATTCGAAACTGCGGAATGCTTGAACTCTCCACGGTTTTGGATGCAAACATGCTGCAAACACAGCAGTAAAGCATGGATGATCACAGCAAGGCTGTCAGTAGAGTTGGTCCAAGCTGTTAGCATTTGAGTTGACCAGCTGGCATCTGCGACGTAATCACCGTACTCAAACCAAAGATCTTGAATAACTCCAGGCCTGTAAAATCTCGTATCCCTGTAAGCGTTGCGCCAGCGTCAACCTACAAGCGCCGGCTTCAACACGCAGTGGCAAAATCCGCCAAGAACGCGATGGTGTAGCCCCAAATTCGCTCAAACAGCAAGTGCAGGCAGGCAATCTGTTCAGAGTGCTTGCGCTGCACTACAACTCAACGCTGCAATGGTAATCGAATAGCGACCCGGCTTCACATGTGGAAACCGTCGTTCAGAATTGAGCACCGAGCAGTGCTCCAGGAAACTTCTTCCCGCACTGGACGAAGCTGTGCTGAGTAAGTCGGATGCTGCAGGGGAATTGCTACTGTCCCAAGACGTG